CAAAGATAAAATTTAAGAACTAGAAAAGAAGGTAGAAGGCAGAACTGTAAGAAAGTATTGGCCGGACGCGGTGACTCATACCTGTAATCCCAGCACTTTGAGAGGCCGAGACAGGCAGATCATAAGGTCAAGAGATCAAGACCATCACGGCCAACATGGTGAAACCCCACCTCTACTAAAAATACAAAAAATTAGCTGGGTGTGGTGGCGAGCACCTATAGTCCCAGCTACTCGGGAGGCTGAGGCAGGAGAATCGCTTGAACTCACGAGGTGGAGGTTGCAGTGAGCAGAGATCGTGCCACTGCACTCCAGCCTGGTGACAGAGACTCCGTCTCAAAAAAACAAACAAACAACAACAACAACAAAGTATTAATGAAGCGAGGTATGAAATGAGAGGGTCCTCAGACGGGATAAGTTCAGTCAGAAGCCTGTGGGAAGGGCCTGAAGCTGGACTCAACGTTTGGCGAGAAAGGAGTAGCATTCCTTTGTGCAGATATGAGTATCTGTTCTGTGAGGCAAAGAAGGGCAGTTAGGGAGACTCGCCATGGGGGCGGTCAAGAGTAAAGAGTAAGGAAGGCACGGTCTTGAAGAGGAGGCTCAGCTTCCAGAGGTGCAGGCAGTCCCTGTGCGCTTGGATGGAGTTCCCAATGCACGGACTGTAGAACTAGCCAGAGGCAGAGGAGGTGGACTCACTTACTGCCCTCATCAAGTTGCTGTCTACGGGCCCCTAAACCAGGTCAGTGATGACAGTGGGAAACAATAAAAAAGAGAAAGAATCAGCAGAACTAGCAACTGAGTGAACAGAGAGAAAAGGCTGAGTGAGCCATGTGAGGCTGGTGTCAGGGAGGGTGGGAAGGATGGGAAGTGCTTAAGGGAGTGGGTCTGGAGCTCAGCTTGAGGAGTTTCAGCTGTTGGTCAATTAGCTAGTCACTGCCCCTCAGCTCCAAACCTATACCCCTGTGGCCTCTACTTAAAAGGACTCAGCCATTGGCCTGCCTGCCTCAGTCCACCAGGAGAATACCCACTTCAAGTACACCTCCCTCTTTGCAAGCCGCCAACTGAACATGTATCCAAATGACAGAACACCTTCTGTGTGCCAGGCCAGCTCTACAAGCAGGCACTGGGGAGTCAGCAGTGAGCACAGACCCCGCTTTCCGGCGCTCATATGCCAGTGGCTGAGACTAATGAGAGAAATCGGAGTGCCTCGACTGTGTGATAAAGCCAGCCCAGCTCCTCTCGCATCCAGAGCTCTTCCAGAGGCATTTCCAAACACCATTGCCTTGGCGTCCTCAGCACCTGGCACTAACTACTGCCTAGGAAGCACTTAACTACTTACTGACTCAATCACGGTTATCCAAGAAATAAACAACACTCCATGCAGTTTTGTGACCAAGATTCCAAGACTTTAGTCTCAAGCTCCGAAACTAAAAACATACTACATGGAGAGAGTTGTTTAACATCAGCAATATTTTTTTCATATTTTTTTTTCCTGTTGTTCCAAGAAGTTTTCAAACAGTTCTAGAACAGACTGTAGGGGCCAGCTGTACAAAATCTATTAATTCTAAACAATTCTTAAGGTTTCCTTACCTAGTTGAGCTATATAAAGATGCTTCCTCTAAACTATTTGAATTCCAAATGTAAGCTTCTTTATGAGGCCTGCAATGAAAGCGTAAAAACGTTTGAGAGATCTTACCGCCTGAAAACATCACAAGAAATCAGCAGTACTAATGTACTCAAGCAGCTTTAAACACATGAACATTTCTTTAAACACAGAGGTGTCTGCTTCATTATAATATAATTTATGCCAATTTAATGTACTATAGTCAAAACATCAAGATGGCAGGAAGCATTTTCCTATAGTACCTTGTTTACCTCAATGACAACACAAAAAGCAACAGACCTTATCTAACCCAATAATGTTTTATTCCAAGTAACCTCACATTCCACATTACTCCTTAACTCCTAAACACACACACATGCACACAAAATAGCAGATGTTACACGCAGAGACAGGTGTGAAACCAAGAAATCCCAAAACACAAGTTTAGCTTAACTCGTGAAACTAGTTTTGGGCTTCCACGACTTCTCTCGGTAATACAAAAAAAAAAAAGGTTCAACTCATCCACCGAGAGGCTTTGGGTTGCCATTCTTTAGTAGGTAACTCCATGAACACAACATTGATCGCAGACAAAAGATGAAGACAGGGTCCTATGTACTTTAGCAGTAAAAACAAGTTTTTTAATGAAGTTTTTAAATTTTCTATCAAATGTGTCTGGTTAAAGGTACTGTGAAAATACGTGCACTCCTGTCCACTTTTAAGTTATCTTTACCACTGCGCTGTTCCTTGGACTTTCAGAAATATGAGGAATTCTGTTGTCTGACCGGCAGTGCAAGATGTGAATGATCTGCCCCGGCCTTGAACACAGGAAGATGTGGGCTGAATGTGTGCACTATGGGGAGATACAGCTGAGTGGTGACGGGCCTCTGGAACTCAGGAGATTTCAGTGCCTACCTGTGCTCACAGTAGAACAGAAGAAACCAGGTAGAGACAGCCACAGGTGCACAACTAAGTCATGCTCCCTCTGCCAAGCAGGCCAAAAGCCAAATCCTTTCCTTTAGAGTTACATGAATTTAATCCCTGGATACAAGGTAGGTATTGTGGAAAAAAACAGCATAAGGAATATGGCTGTTAATTCTATGTGCTCACTAAAGTTGCTTATGAAATTAGGGGCCTTTGTTTTGGTAACAATTTAGAGGCCTCCTGGCAGAGTTTTTTTTTTTTTTTAAACTTTGTTATGGGAGCACACCCCCCCCCCCAACCCGCCGCCCTGCATAGCTACCTGAACAATTATATACAATATACCAAAATCTTCCTCAAAACTCTTTATTGGGAATATATGTACTCTAAAGCTATGGGTATACCTTAAGAGAAAAAGTTTGTTATCTGAAATAAACTAAGCTTGACTCCAGAGATCATTTTCCATCTTCACAAACAAGAATGTCAAAGGACAGAACCCCTGCAGCCCAGCTCAGAGGTTTCCCTAAAAGCCCAGAGAAAAGTCAGCATTCTTTACTCCCCATTCCCCTCCCCCTTTAACACTGCAGGGCCTAACGTGGCTGGTCTCACACCCTCAATGATACCCTTGGGGATTTAAGACAGTAAAATTCTGGGTAAGCTCTCCTACCACTCTTGCGGCTGCCCAACTTACTTCCTGGCTCACTTCCTTGCCAAGTTACTCACGTTGAAAGGTTGCTGTGGCCAACAACGGTCACCCTCCTTCCTGCAGGCAGAGGGCAGCTGAGCCAGCCAGGAGTGTACTTTGGGAGGATCTAATCACCCTAACTTTATTTCCTGGGCTGGTTCAGTCTCCTAACCCACCTACAAAGTAACCTGAAGACCAAGTTGTCACAATACGAATAATTATGCACATAGTATTTATAAAAGCTTTCTTACTATAAGCGCATTTAAGCACTTCATTTGTATGCACTTTATATCTCCGTAAGAAAACAAATGTTAAAAAGGAAGCAGGCCCTGACTTAATTAAGCCAGGGAATTTGTTAGAGCCCTACAAACGCCTACCTCCGGACAAAAAAAAAAGGCCGAAGGGGAAGGCAGCTGACACTATCCCTCCCGCAGGGTCCAGCCCTAACAGTGGGTTCTCCAGAAGCTCGCCAGGCATTCATTTCTCCAGGGGAACGCCCTTACTTAGAGGTAGTGCTGCTTGGTTCTCTCGCCCGCCGGCGTTGAGTTCAGGTGTGCAGGCTACCAACCTGTATTCTTCAGATAAGTCACCCTCCTCCGAGACTCGCCTCCCACCCTGCTCCCTCCTGCCTCGCTACCAGTGCGAAGGGAGTCCCCGAACTGCGACACCTCACGGGGCAGCCGCACCGCTATCCGTCCGAGTCGACCCTCTCGCCGTGGCTTTTCACCTACGCAGTAAGCAAGTTTCATTTTCAAAAGGGGAGGAAGCAGGTTTCACAGACACCGCATTCCCAAGAAGTTTCCGAGAGACGCGCAGCGCACAAGTCGCTGGCTTCGATCCCTTTGCTGCTCATGGTGTCCATAGTCGAGTGAGTGCATTAAACTTAAGGATCTCCGCCCTTCTCCTTAAAACCCAGGACTTGGCAATGAGCCTAGGAAGCGCCCCTCCCCTCCCCAACCAGATCCAAGCCCCGGACCGCTGCGTCTCCAACTGCGCCTAGTGAAACCGCCGAATTCGAATTCGCACTCCGCGGGCCGGCGGAGGTGTGCGCGCCAGCGGGAGCGTCGGGACGAGCCCGAGGGACTGCAAGCCAGGAAGGGGGGCAGGGGCGTCGGGGGGCGTCGTCTGATCCAGGTAGGAGCGGAGACGCAGATCACACACTCTTCGGACGACCTGCCTGCGCCCAGCCAGCGCGCAGCCCGCAGGACGCGCGGAGCAGGAGCTCGCTGGAGTTTGCCAAGCCCCAGGTCTCTGGAAAGCTGTAGTTCCCTCTCGGAGCGTCTCTTCTGGCCCTCTGGGACCGCTGTGTCAGGGGCGGGGGTCCTCGAGGGAGCAGGAGGGGAAAGGAGCACCGGGTCTCGGCACCTGTCCGCAGCTCCCCTCGGGTCCGCCTGCCCCCTACCAGGCTCGGCAAAGACCTGAGCACCGCTTGCGGGGGGCGGACCCCCGCCAGAGCAGAGCTCGCGGCTCACTGGGGCTGCCGCCGCATCCCCGCACCTTTAGAGAAGGGGATCGTGGACTCACCTGGGCGATGGAAGAGGAGGCAACAGAGGCAGGTCCTTGGCGTGGGCAGGCCCCAGCAGGAGCAGCGCGACCTCTACAGCCCCCAGGCAGCGGCACCAAGTGAGCCGCCGCGCCGCCGCCCCCTCCGTTCTTATACGGCGGGACCACGCCCCCGTCCCCGCCCCTGAGCCGCCCTCCCGGGGGAGCCAGGGGCGGGGCGGGGCGGAGCCAGTCCTCTCGGGACCCTTCCGCCGGGTCCTGACGGCTGGGGCGGGGCGAGGGCTGCCCTCTGATTGGCTCCTCGGGTGAATGGTTGCCAAGAGACGAGTAAATCCTCAGCGGCTGGAAGGGGCGGGGTGCACAGGGAGGCAGCACTGAGCAAGCGCAACAGAGGGGGTGCGTCGACAACCACTTAACTTCGGAGTTAGTGGGACACCTTTCTTTTTGCTTAGTACGCTTTTCTGCCATTCCTGCCGCATAACTCTCTCTCCCCCAAGCTTTTCCCATGTCCATCCAGTTCTCTCGCAGGCCAGTTTTTCTTCCGCCTTTCTGGGGATTTTTGCGTTGGTTCTCCCTGCCCCCAGGAGTGAGGCGGCTAACGCCCACACCTACCTCGGGTGTGTGTTTGCGAGGTCGGAAAAAACTTAATGGTTTCTGGGCCCTGGGCACCTTTCAGATTCCCCAAGCAAACTGGCTGGAGGTGAAGGCGTGGTCTTCGGGGAGAGAGCGCCGGTGGCTCTCTGGCCCCGGGGACCACCTGTGTGCAGTTAGTGGGACGAAGGGCCTCGGGGAGTCCATCGCCAATGTCGACAGCCGCAGCCGCTTCGGCCCCACTCGGAATGCCACAGCACTTGGTCCAGTGTGTTACATAACATGCAGGCAGGGCTTGGACACCATCCATTCATTCCATAGCTAGTGGTTTACAGCCCAGGTTCTGAATTCAGACTAATCTGACTTGAGATCTCCATTCACCACTTAAACTTTCTGTAAGGCTTTAGGCAAGTAACTTAACTAACCCTCCAAAAACCTGCATCTCCAATCTGTAGGACAAGACTAAGAATGGGACAGCTTTGTAGAGTTATATAAGTATTAAGAAAATACTTGGGAAACAATTAGTGCAGTGGCTAGTGCCTGTTAGAAAGTGTGTGGCAAATGCTGTATGTATCAGATAGTAGCCAATGTTGGACAGTGTTATTTATCAATAGACATTATTGTCTTGTATTGATCCTCTACTAGGTGCTGGGGAAAAAGATTCCTTCCCAGATACAGTATTTACATCTCCTCCGCCCTCCTCTCCCATCCCTGCCTGAAATAAGTGTGGTCCTCCTGTCTGTCAGACTTTGAAGAGTTCTCAAATACGTCTTTCCCAGTGAGGGAGAGGTGAGTGAGTATCCAGGAACTTAATGGGATAGGACATCAATATGAGTGCTTACAGGGAAAGTCAGTGATTCTATTGCTAGACACGAAATCAAGACATACGATCTAATTTTTTGTTTTCCTCTTTTTTTTTTTTTTTTAGGTATAACATTCAGTAAAGTGCACAAATCTAAAGTGTCCAGAATGATAATTTTTTACATATGCATACACCCATGTAACTGCCACCCACATCAAGATGTGGAACCTTTCCAGCTCATTCCTGCCCCTTCCCATTCAGTATCCCACAAGGGTTACCACTATTTTAACCTCTGTCACCATAGATTAGTTTTACCAATATTTGAACTTGATATGGATGAAATACATAACACGTACAATTTTATCTCTGGCTTCTGTTGCTCAACAGTGTGTCTACGAGATTCATCCATACTGTTGTGTGTAACAATGGTCCATTCTTTTTCACTACTGTGTATTACTTCATTATATAAATATTCAACGATTTGTGTACTCCTCCTACTGTTGGTGGACATTTGAGTTGCTTCGTGTTTCTGCCTTTCATGAAGCTGCTGCAAGCATTCTTACACATGTCTTTTGGTGGACATAGCATTCATTTATGTTGGGTATATATATACCTAGGATTGGATTCCTGGTTCATAGAGTGTTCACATATTAAACTTTAAATACACTGCCAAATATAACAATTTATGTTCCAACCAGTGACATGAGATTTCCGTTGTTTCACATCTTTGCCAGTATTGGTATTTTCAGTCTTTTTAATTTAGAAACTGGGGGAGGATGTGTATTTCACTGTGATTTACAATTGCATTTTTTTTTTTGATGATCCAGGATGTTGAGCAATTTTTCAGATGCTTATTGTTCATTTCAATACCCTTTTAATAAAGTGTCTGTTCAAGTCTTTTGCCCATTTGTGGGGAGTTATTTGTCCTAATGTCTATGAGTTCTTTACATATTCTGAATATGAGCCCTTTGCCCAATAGGTGTATAACAAATATCTTTTCCCAATCGGTGTTGACTTTTAGTTATTTTAATGTTATATTTTGATGAACAGAAGCACTTAATTTTAAAGACATCTGAAATATTAATCTTATCTCTTATGATTAGTGTTTGGTATGTCCTGTTTAAAATAATCCTAAGCCCCTAAAAATAGTCTTCTTTGTTTTCTTCTAAGAACTTCATTGTTTTAACTTTCACTATCTGTAAGGCCTTGGGCAAGTAACTCAACCATCCTTCCATGAACTTCCAACCACAATAAAGTTAATGCAAATTATTACATTGGCCTTCGGACCATTTCTACTCTTTCAGGACAAAACTAGGAACCTAACACAGTTCGCCTCAAGGTAGAACACAGGACAAAAATTCTTAACCTAACGTTTGACCCAGCATGGTTTAGTTCTGCCTTTTCCTGGGTGAAATTTTGTTCAACTTCCTGAACAAAATTATTCTGTGGTAGGTAAGAGGTGAGAGCTAAGAGCCAGAAAAGAAACTCATTATATATGAGTTCTCAAATATATATACATGTATATATGTATTTTTTTTCCTTGGGCCTCTTTTTATCCCTGATGCATTAATGGACTTTTCTATAATTTTGTTTCAGGGTTTTGTTTTGTTTTTTTTAATACACTGTGTTCTTTCTGCCTCATAAAACTGGCATCCTGGAGCTGGAAGGAGTCTTAGAAAGTGGCCAAGTTCTGCCCATTGGACATGGAACCACATATTGAAACTCTTCTTCCTGGATTATTGGTGCCTCCTTCTTGCCAAATTCCAGCCCCTGCTGAGCACATCCAATCAGAATGGTTTAAAGACCTTTTTTGCATTCTGAGTGATTCACTGGCTTCACTGATTTATACCTAGGGAAACCGAGGGACAAAACAGTCTTTAAAATGCAAGCATACCTCACTTGTAGTGATGATCCTGAAACAGTTTTCTGTCTCAATAGATTCTGATTTTAAATACTTCAGAAAAGCAAAGAAATTCTATCATAGTCCTACTGTAAATCAAGAAAGACCTTTTGTATAGTGTCTAGTTATCTCCTGATCTATCAGTTTCTTTGAGCTATTTCTTAAGTCTTGAGTTTTTTTGTAATAAAAACATTACAAATGTTTATTCAAATGCGCTCATCTAAATATTTTATCTTTCTTGAAATGATTCTTACGTGAAGTTCTAATCCACATTTAACATACGTGTAGAGAAGTACACCGCTCATAAGAGCACAGCTCAATGAATTTTCGCAAATGGAATGAACCTGTGTTGCTAGCATACAGATCAAGAAACAAAGGAACATCAAAGCATTTGTGGACATATTTTAAAACCGTCACAGTGGCACTGTGTACATCCTAGTGAGTTTCTGGTGGGGCAAAGACATGACTTGGCTTTTCAGTTCCCACCTACAACTCTCACCAGTAAATCTCTCTCTCCTCTCTGGCTCCTGCAGTCCGATATTTTTCTCGGGTGTTGCAGAAGGACAAGTGGGTTTGGAATAAAATGGTGTTAAGTTTTATTTGGACAGATTCCAGAAGTAGTGGAGCCTAGAGCTGGTCATATTTGGTGGGACAGGAAGAGAGGAAGGGGCTGCATCTTCAGGCATGGCTGTAGCAGCAGGCTGAAGCAGAGCATGGCAGCAGAGGCACTGCCACCAGAGCAGCATGAAGGGGTAAGGTAGGGATCCAGAAGGGGAATGGGAGTGATGGTGGCAGTGCCAGGGAAAAGATGATGCCAAATATAAACAGTGCCGACTTTATCCCTCCAATCTAGATGTCTCTAGACTCCTTTCCTGCCCACCCCACTAGCAGTATGTCCCTGGAGAAAGGATGTAGACTTGAATGAGACAGCGGGCAAACCTTTTTTCAGGCAAGGTGAAACCTTAGACAAATCGCTTAACATCTCTGAGTCTGAGCTTCTTAATCCAAAAATGGAAATGATAACAGCAGTTAGCCTACCTGCTTCGTGGTGTCTGGTTGCCAACCTTGTACCCCTTTCTCATTTCACTGTCAGGACACCTTGGGAGGCAAGTCGGATGAGAGCAGAAAAGGGGAGATTCTGAATCCCTTGCTGTGGCTACCATCACTTCTAGGGCCCCAGATTTCTTATCTAAGGATTCACATTTTTTCAAATCTCCCTTCTGGGAAAAGGGATTTCATAAAAATGCAAATTGTGAATTGATTATTTCATTATATCTCATGACCAGCCACTGGGTCCACTCTGAACCTGCCTTATATTTAGGCCCAGGATGTCTTTCCCACCATCCTGCCAGGATGCCTGAAGCTCCCAGCCCTGGAGTCAATTCCTGTTGGGGAAGAGATTCTGGTCATTCCCACATAGCTTGCCAGAGGAAGAGTACAGCCGACTGCCAGGGATGGCAATCTCCCCTAACATGTGTCATTCTCAGTGTTCATACGCTGGTCTTCCAGTCTTCGTATCAGTCTTGATTCTTAGTTGTCAGCACTCAAAAATGACTCTGGCTGATTTAAGCAAAATGGAATTTAGTTCCAAGATATTGGTGAGCCCACAGAATTAGCAGAATAGCTGGAGAACTTGGCCAATTGACTCTGCCACCAGAAACAAGGTCGAAAACTCATACTGTGGCACTGGCCCAGGAAAACACCATGAAGGACATAGGCAGCCTTGCCACTCCTGTCTCTGAAAACTGGATATAATTGTCTCTGCCACCACACTGTCACCTGTAGATAGTGGGAGTCTCTGTGAACCTGTGTCCCTGCTTCTTCCCATCACTGGTTTCTGATTCGAACCCAGAGTGGGTGGGATTCTCTCAAATCAGCAAAGCCCAGATGGTATGGCCAAGCCCTGGCTTGGCTGCAAAGAAGGCTGGTAAACAGATCATCTGATATTTTGAGCTTTAACTCTGGGAAGTAGACTTTGCCTCTTAAAGGTAGAGGATTCTCTAAATAGAGGAAGGAGGTTCAGATGCTGGATGGCCAGAATATGCACATCTCCCTTCCAGCCTTCCGCCACAATCTCTTGTGAGCATTGCCTAAACAAATTGGCATTCTTTATTCCAGCTAGCTGTGGGACACAGATGCAGACAGGATTCCGAAGCCTCTGCATCTGAGGGCCAGAAAAATGGACTCTTGGGAAGCTCCTAGGAGGGACACCATCCAGCTGACCTTGCCCTGCCAATACTTTCTGCTCTTGGCCAGGTGACACTTTTCCTCTTCAGAATTCCTAGAATAGGCTCTCAGCGAATATCTGATGGAAAAAAAAAAAAAAAAAAAAGAGGACTTGGGTAACCACCCCTCCCTCAGGTCCTGGCTCTGTGTGATATGGTTCACTTCACTGCTGTGGGCTTCAGTTTCCCCATCTGTTTAAAAAAAAAAAAAAAAAAAAAAAACCAGCTTGACTAGCCTGCAGTGCCTTCAGCTCCAGCAGTGAGCATCAAGGAGCTAAAGGGTGTGGGGCTGTGCCGCCCACGGTGCTTCATGGGGTTGGCTGCACATAATGACAGTGTCCCAGAGCTGGCGCTTGTGTAACAGGCGGATTTACCGAGAGGGGACGACTGTTTGCTCAGCAGCCGAGAAGTCTATAATTAGACTGTCACAACATCAGCAAAAGTACAGGATCAATGTAATCAGAGAAGAAATGGAAAAGAACACGGCATCAGTAAAAGCCTCCAGTGGTTCCCCGTGGTTTCCGGAGCACTAATCACCCAGGCGAGGTTCAATGTCCCGCTTGTGGGTTTCCTCCTGGGTGACGACCAGGTTGGTTTGGGCCTGCTCTGCCTGCCCCTCTCAGCAGCCTGGTGCTCCCCCTCCTCTCTCCCTTCTCCACTCCCTCTGTGCACTGAGTCTTAGCGATGAGGGGCCAAAAGATACAGGACTTGCACCCCAAACTCTGTGGCCCAAGCACCTCTATTCCTCATGATGTGCGTGGTGGGAGGAGAGGGGAAGGAGGAGAACCAGTCGCTTTAAAATGCAGATTCCAGGGCCCCATCTCAGCCCTATTGAATCAGAACCGATGGTGGAAGAGCCCTCGTATCTGCATTCTCAGACGATTCTATGCATGCTAAAGCTTGAACACTGCCAGGCTAAGCCACCCTCCTGCTGGTGATAGACTCTCCCTCTTGCATCTATTCTGTACCTGGTGTAGTTACAGCACAGTCAGGCTGCAGTGAGATTCAGGGCAATCCAGGTTAAAGGGCCTTCCCAAAGTCAGGGAATGATAATGGGCTGCTTATTTCCTTTCTAATCACATTAAGAATTCAGAGGTGCCAACACGCTCCTCTCACTAATCCTCATGGCCTCTGAGCCAGGGGTAGTGTCTAGTGTCATTAGTTTCTTTCCACCAAAGTAGATCTGGGCTCAGATCTGTCCCCAAAGGATTGGATCGGAGGGCTTCTAGTCTCCCCTGAGCCTGATCCTCATGGAAACTATTTTTTAAATCTGTAAACTTTTACTTTATTTCTTAAAAAATTTTTACATAAATGATATGTAAAATTACATTACAGAAAAATCAGAAAATTCAGAGAAGCAAAAGGAAGAGATAAATCATGACTAACCCCACAGCAACTGTTCTATTAATGTGTTGGTGTTCATCCATCCACATGTGAGTGTGTGTGCACACTCACACTCAGACTCACACATTCTATTCCTGTCTCAGTCAGGGCCTCTGAGGAAACGAAGGGCAAATACTGGAACCGGGGATTGAGGAGAGCTAGTGAGGGCAAGGTTAAGGGAAAACTTAAGGCATGGGCGGCCCCATAGGATTGGCAACCAGTGGGGAACCATTTCCACTTAGGCCTAATGGGATGAGAGGTGAGAAGTTACCAGAACCTGGGAAGACTCACTGCGGCTCCGAGGAGCTGCCGCCTTTGGTTGAAGATTGTGATCACCCTTAATCTGCTCCCAGCAGGGAGGGAGCCAGAGGAGAAACACCTGAACTCTTCTTGCCCTCTGCCTGTGTGTGCCTCCCACTGGGACAACCCAATCAGGAGTCAGCCTCTGGAGACCCAGCAGAGTTAGAACGTTGTCTAGACAGGGTGTGGATAGCCAAATGGAGACGGTTTCAGTGCACTTCTTAAGTGTGTTTATGAGTTTCCAATACAGTAAACAATAATGGAAAAACTTAGATTTTAAAAACTCTTTGTATTCTCAGTAATTGTTAAGCGTACAAAGGGGTCTCAGCCATCCCATTACTGGGGATATACCCAAAGGATTATAAATCATGCTGCTATAAAGACACATGCACACGTATGTTTATTGCAGCACTATTCACAATAGCAAGGACTTGGAACCAACCCAAATGTCCATCAGTGACAGACTGGATTAAGAAAATGTGGCACATATACACCATGGAATACTATGCAGCCACAAAAAAGGATGAGTTCATGTCCTATAGGGACATGGATGCAGCTGGAAACCGTCATTCTCAGCAAACTATCGCAAGAACAGAAAACCAAACACCGCATGTTCTCACTCATAGGTGGGAATTGAACAATGAGATCACCTGGACACAGGAAGAAGAACATCACACACCAGGGCCTGTCGAGGGAGGGGGAAGAGGGGAGGGATAGCATTAGGAGGAATACCTAATGTAAATGACGAGTTAATGGGTGCAGCACACCAACATGGCACATATGTAACAAACCTGCACGTTGTGCACATGTACCCTAGAACTTAAAGTATAATAATAAATAAATAAATAAAAATTAAAAAAAAAAAAAAGAGTAAAAAGGGGTCTGAAGACCAAAATGTTTGAGAACCATTGCACTACTCTTTTCCTGTGGGGGTTCAGAGCAGGAGGATCCTATTAGATTATGGGATCAAACTGATTATCACTAGTTCCCTTTCCTAAATCATAGATGAATACAAAGCAGATTCTACATTAGAAAACTACAGAGTCTGCAGGAACATGGAGAAGTCATCAGGCCCTTTTTTCCTGGCTTTGGGGAGGGTGACTCCAAGTGGACTGTGGGCTTCCCTTCCCCTGGCTGCCTCGTGGGCTTGCTGGTGGCCAGGATGGCCCTGCCAGTCTTGTCCAAGACCTCTGGGCCAAGTCCACATCAGGTCAGGGTTGGAAATCTCCCAAGGGAATTGAGAGTATCTCCTTTGCCTGTTTAAAGACCACAACAGTATATATTTAAAAAAAAAAACAAAAAA